GCAATAGAGCTGTGTGCAAAATACGAGGAAAACCTTAGCGAACGACGCAAAACCAAAACGGCCGGTGTGGAACCCTCGACGTCGACGCCCGGGATAGGAGAAAATTCGCCTAGGAAAAACGTTTACTCATCACGGCATGTCGTGTGTCGGCTGTCCGGTCCTCGTCCGTAAAAAACGATTCCCGAACCACTAGTCCGGGTTGCTACGTTTATGAGTTTATCGAGTCAATTTCAAATGTCGGCTGCATTCGAAAAAAATAAAGCGGAATTGTCGAACCAACATATCGAGTTAGTTTCGCAATTCGCCGATTATAATAATTTGGTAAAACAAAATCACTTTAGATCCCCACCAAACGGCGCCAGCACCCTCGCCCGCTCGCGATGTGAGCAAATTATTCGGCGACAGCATACAACTTTTTGTTCTATTCGTCCTCCAAGGTACCCGGGGAGCTATTAAAAACTCTAAACGATTGGGAGAGGCTCATTAAACTATGAACTCTCGGCACATTAAATCACATCGACAACAATCAACACACACACACACACACACTTTATAAATTATTATTATTATTACTATTACTGTACACAACGCCAATTTTAGATTTTAATCGTCGAATAGATACGGAGTCAACAACAACTGTTAATATTGTTATCACAGAATAATATTGGAATGTAATTTTACTACTGGCTATAATTATTCATTTATACGACCTAACCAATATAGGAATGTTGGTTATTTTGTTGTTGTTTATCATTTCTGTAATCCAGGTTTAATCGCGTTTCTCTACCCAGAAAGTTATCTGTACATTATGTATAAATGCAGTTATGCGTTTGACATTAGTCATTAGCACCTGCTAAACTGCCAAACTTACCAAAGTAACCGATAACTGGCAGACCAAAGAAAAGCGCACAATGTGTTACGTATTACAGTTTTACAGTCATTTTTCTGCACTCAAACGTGGACTAGAATAGATTTCAAAGTCGGAGGAGGAAAAAGCGTCATTTTTGTTGGGGGCATAGGGGTAATTATTCAGGCAATATCCCCAGTCATTTGTTGAAAATTTTAAGGAAATAATTAACATAATATTGTAAACTGGAAAATTATTATAATTGACGATTAATTTTTAATATTCGGAATATATTGTCACGTAACCAACCGTGGCCATTTATATCAAGATAATAGTATGTAATTTATGTGCGTGTGCGAGTGTGCCCGGTGTGGTATGAGTGTTAGTTGCGTGATGGAACAAAATTTTATGTATAAAAGTGAGAACTATTTTATTGTTTCATTCTTATCTGTCAAACGGAAAGACACGGACGTAATTATTCATATATAATAATATTTACATACTTTATTATACATTTATATATTTAGTTATATATAGATTAGATACATATGCTCTACAAAGATTTGAAAGATTTTTAACTGTGTATGTACAACATAATATATAACAATATCATAATGACATGTTATGGATCCATATAATTGTATTTCCAAAATTAATTTTTTCATTCCAACGGTAGTATGAACTGACAAAATAAAAGTGTTGGGCACAAAACAACCACTGTCCACTCTATGCCTTAAATGTATCAACAAAAAATATGGCGCATACAAATCGTTAAGGACTCACAGAGTTGTGAAAACAGAAACGAACTAGACCCGTTTGTTTTGTCATAGTTGTGTTCAGCCCTCGACGAAAAAATTGAAATTGCGCCTATGGGGATAGTCCTCGGCCGAACAAAAGACGAAATGAACAATATTTTTGTTTCGGATGATTTTTTTACGATGATAAAATCTGAGTGTGTGTGTGCGTGTGCATCGGACTATCGGAAGGTAGAAGAAAAAAAACCTACGGGCACTGATACTCGGTGCGGGTTGGTGGGGGGGGGACATGGACCTGTTGTAGCGGGCGGAGAGGATTGGTGTTGTCGTCGTCATCGTTGGTGAGGAGCGAGTGGCGGTCCGGCGACCGTCGGATGAATAACGGCCCGGCGACCGGTCGTAACACGTTCGCCACAGGTCGGTTCGTGCACGTCAACGTCGCGGGCCGGCTACCAGAGGCTGCGGTCTCGAAGAACTGGTTTCCAGCAATAGTTCTTGTAGTATTTTCGATATCATATACTGTGGTCTGCGGATGGTAACGATCTCGAAATCTGGCCGGTACGTGGTGGAAAGGTTGTTAGGACCGGCGCTCGAGAACAGAATCTCGTGACCGTGCACTACCCGTAATGGTTCTCGTTCGAGGCCCATTTTTTTTTTTAACTCACGCTTCCGCCGAAGTTTTTGCGACAAAATTCATAAGACTCTGCCAATGCTCGTTTCTCGTGCGCTTACACTGCTTACAGTGTATTCGGTTCTGGACGAACATTATAATATTAGTCTGGTCATAGGCGCGCGAACACACGCACACTCGCTCGCTGTTACGGACCGTCGTCATCAGAGACGTTTGAAGGACATTGTGACGACAAGTCGTAAAGTGGGGAAATTAGCTATGTAGAAAGGTGTTTGTGGGTCGATCGCAGTGTGTGTGTGTGTGTGTGTGTCGTCCGACAATCCTATTATCGCTGAAGTTAGGCAGTGTGTATGTGTATATTGGTGTATACATTATTCCACTTTTTTTTCTTCCCAAACCGTAAAATGGATACCAACTATTACCAGGCTACCAGCGGGTCCGTTATGTTTATTATTATTACTGATCGGCCGTGCACACTAGTGTAAAACTATAACAATATGTACACGGAGGCCTAGCACAAGATTAGGTACACTGCAAGACCCGACGACGAATGTTACGATATTATTCGCACTTCCGACTGTAGTGAGTTGTACACGGTCGACGGTCTCCGTTTCGCCGCGGTCTGGACGCTATCGATTAGTATCATCACCGGCGTTCGTTACCGAATACCGAATACCGGGTTGCCGGTTGTAATACCGGCTTGAGGTCGTGAATATTGTTGTCGGCGAATTCGATTTGTAGAAAGCGAATAACATACGCACACGCGATATTCAGCAAGGCAAAGCAGTTTGTGTGTGCGTAATTTCACACACACACACACACACACGACACACGGGCGATTCTCTCGTGCACAGCACGCACTCGGCACACGAGCGAAACAATTATTATTATCACCATCATTATTGTCGGTCGCCACTGAATAATAATAAAAATAATCGTCATCCGACGCGATATTATACTTTCGACCTATTCGCGTGTGCCGCGGAGGTGGTGGTGGTTCAACGACCCTGGCCCCGTGGAAATGGGGTCAATTTTATTATATTTTACATTTTAGATTTTTCGACTCCGGAAAACCGAACAAAAACAACATGCTGCCGTGGTGTGTGCAACAATTAATATTTCCGTGAACCGGGGAAAAAATTTGAGTAAAAATTATTAATCACAATTTCATGTTATTTCATACTATTACGCTCACGGGTTTACGACTTACCCGCGAGGTCCATTGTAGCGTCAATGGCTCGTCGTTTCGGTGTTCCGGCGACAAGCTACACAGCTGGTACAAAACAAAATTATGGTTTTGCCAAACACCGATTATTATTACTATTGTAATAATGTTATAATTATCATATTATAGATACCGATGAGGAAAAGGAAAAAAATAAAATGTAACAATGGTTTCTTTTTGTCAAAATATTTTTTTTTATTTTTCATTTTCAAATTTTATATTTTGCATTATTTTCTTTTGTTCATCATCTACTACATAACAAAAGTAAAAAAAATGACAATTGCTATGAAGTGATATGACTGGCCTGGGGTGGTGAGGTTGTGCCACAATATAAAGGGGACTCTTCGTTTAAACGAAAAAAAAAAGTATAATATAATATAATATATATACATATACATATATATATGTATATATATATAATACAAACAAAAATATATAATCTTTTTGACGCTTTGTTGAGTAGTACAGTACTACTACTCGATCTTAGCGCAGCATTTTATTATTTTGCTTTTAACACAATTCAAAGGTAAACTTAACTTTAAAAAAAAAAAAAAATAAAAATACTGTTAAGATTACACTTTATGTAGTGCCACTGAGATCAGAAATACATTACATATACATATATATATGTATATATATATAATACAAACAAAAATATATAATCTTTTTGACGCTTTGTTGAGTAGTACAGTACTACTACTCGATCTTAGCGCAGCATTTTATTATTTTGCTTTTAACACAATTCAAAGGTAAACTTAACTTTAAAAAAAAAAAAAAATAAAAATACTGTTAAGATTACACTTTATGTAGTGCCACTGAGATCAGAAATACATTACAATAACCAAAAAAAAAAAAAAATAAAAAAATAAAAATATATCTTATTACAATGGTTTAGTTATTCTTATAGAATTATAAATTATTAATTTTGGGAGGAAAAAACAGGCTGTTATATAAAAAAATTCACATCGCACTCGCGCTTAAAGCCTACGAAATTTGAAAGTTAACGTTTAAAGAAAAAAGTCAAAATCCGTTATCACAATACATAGGTATTTTTCACTAGCCTATTTAAATTAAAAAATTATTATAAAAAACAAACTATTAGTTTTAATGCCAATTCTTATAATTTCTTTGACTGAATTTTTAAATAAAATATTCTTAATACACATATATATATATATATATATATATTTATATGTATATGTATAATATATTAAAATATGTTTTTTTTATCTTATTTGCATAAGCAAAATTATATAAAGACCTACAACGTTATTTTTTAAATTTATTAATAATAATCTCATTCCGTTCGTCGATACGTGTATATATTATGGAAATATGTACACACACAACATACTAAATTATATCACATTTGTGAGATAATCACACAAAATAATAAAAGCTCTTGGGGATTTTTTTTTAAATTATTCAAAATCGCTAATACCTTTACATAATATATAATAGAATGTATATATAAATGCATAGCGTATTGTATTAATTGTATGTGTGATGTCAGTTAGGAACACTTACTCTAAGGTTAACATATCTTTTTTTTTCAATATAGATATTTGAACATGAAAGACATCTGGCAAAACAAATTAAAAACGCCTGATGAGTTGGGGTTTTTTTTTTGCTTTTAGTTATATTATATTATATATATTTTTTTTTGGTGCGATTTATTTATAGCCTAAATAAGTTAATATTGGTTAAAATTCTAAACTCTACTTTAGTTTTATCATTGTCTGGAGGACACACGCGACATCAAACACTCGATAATATAAACATTTTTTTTTTCGTTTTGATTAATAATTCCTCACTGATAATATTGGAAATAATATTATATTCGCTTTATATATTAAATATATTTTATTTATCTCTCTCTCTACCATTCACTTAAAATACGTACATTAATAAAAAAAATTATTTTGCACCTAATACACAACGTTTTTTTTTGTTTTTTTTTAAACTATACTCTATAAAACTCTAATCTATAATAATTTAACCTTAAATGTTTACACTCTATGAATATATATATATATTATATTTTTTATTAAAAATCCTATAAAGAACAACGACTTATATGGGTAAAAAAATAAAATAAAAATAAAAAAGGAAAAAAGTATTAATAATAATCATATTATAATCTGGCGACATATATAATATTAAATATATATAATATAAATATAATCCAATGTATAAATGTATCGACAAAAATAATAACGAGAACAAAAAACTAAACGTAACATATAGAACTGATCACAATTGATTTTTTTTTAAACTTACGCACACGGGTTATAACGTATGAAACAATATTATAATATCATACCGTATGCTAGTTTTTTTTTTTAATCTTCATAGTTAAACTTATTTTTTATATATAAATATTCACTTCCACACACTCACGAGACCAATATATTATTACGCGTATAATATTATAAATTGGGGTTTTTTTGTTACTTGATGATAATCGACGACAAGACCGCTACTTGTTGATACGGGTGTTTTTCGTCTTGTAACGCACAGGCTGTTCCGAGGGGATCAGTCTTGGCTCTCTCTCAATCACGGCGATGGCGGTGCTATTAGTGGTACGAGTACTATCGGTCGTACTAGTTGTGGTTGGATTTATAGTTGTGGTGGTGATGGTGTTTTGATGAGATACTGATAATGAGAAGGAGGTGGAGGAGGATTTGGCGTTCGGCAGCGCCGGACATCCGGCGCTCTTTATTCTAAAAAAGACCTATACAGCTTCCGTTTTTCTATTGTGAATTCTTGATCGATCACTATTGTACCACCGCTTGTAAAATTCCTACACCAGAAGAAAAAAAACGAATCTTGTTAGAGTCGAAAAATTTAAGGGAAAAAATACTACGCTGCATCAAACTTTTGATGTGTGGCGAAGCGCATAATTAATAAATTTAAGTTAAAACACGTTTCGATTAACTTACCTAATGAATAGTGGAATGAGTGACCACGTATTTCTAGGGTTCTGTTTGAGAGTGAGGAACAACTCAAAAGTGGACACTGTGTTGGTGTCGCATTTGATCGTGCCGATTTTCCGGCATTCTTGTTCACCCTCGAAATTCAGGTACAAAGTGCATCCTCTGCGAGGACAGATAAAAAAATCATTAGTTAATTTGGTCGATTTTTTTTCCAAAAAAAAAAATATCTTGAATGAAAAAAACAAATGTCCTAGTGCCTAGTGGGTAGTGGCGACTGGGAAGGTCTAAAGTTGAGAAGCGGAGAAGTGTAAATAATATAAATCTCAAAAAAAAAAAAAAATGAAACTCACCTGAGACCACAGGGTTCGCTTTCGGCCATTTTGAGAACATCATGAGCTATCCGGTGGAGCAAGTCGGGCGGCAACAGGACTTCGCCGCACGATAGTTGCGCACGCTTGGCGGCCCGAAGTTCTTCTTCAAGCCGTTGGTGTAATGCCATAAATGCGCTCGTTTCCGATTCGATGTCCTCTAATTTCAAGATTCCTGTGTACACATAAAATAACACGGATCTTTAGAACAATGTCAAAATAAATATAAAATTGATTTGGGTAATAGATTACGAATTTAAATAAAAATAAAAAATAAAATAAAAAATAAAAATAAAAAATAAAAAAATAAATTTAGAAATTTAAAATTTAAGCTTATTTGGATAAAATAAAAAAATGTAAATGTATTGAAGCAAAAAAAAAAAAAATTGTAATAATTTTTAGTTAGAAAAAAAAAGCTAAGTACCGAGAGTGGAATGGACCGGGTACGACGGTTGTATGTAATACGGAGGTACGACTTCCATTTTTTTCTGATTTTTCTCGCGCCTAGCTATCGTAATGACGAACTTGGTAGTGAAAGAAATGTTGACTGATTTTCGTTAAAGGTTTAAAAGAAAATATATCTTTTAAGTGTTCTTCTCGAAACCGACAATACTACGACTGACGAATAACAAACATGTACGATCGACGAACACGAATCGCTCGTAAAACGCGACAACGGTGAAATAAGAAAAAGCCGGCTGTCACACACTGGCGTGATGCGTATAAACGTTAAGCTCGATCGGATTTCGTACAGCAGCTAAGGAGTAAACCGAATCTGACCGCGGCGGCTAAACGACTGACTGACGACGGTAACGACGACAACGACGGCAACGAAACGCTAGGTGCGGCTGTGGTGTGCGGACTGACGACTGTAGCCTGCAGTACTGTAGTACTATACTGACGAGTGGCGGTGGTCGACGGTCGTCCCAGTCCCATCCGCCGGCCGGCTCACGCGGATCAGCTGTTGGAACAAAGAAACCCCGCGCCCCGCCACCACCGACGTGTAGCGTTCACAACCGGCGGCGGCGGCGGCGGCGGCGGTCGCACCAGCCGATCGGCAAAGTAGTGGTGGGGGACCCCTCGGCTAACCCCCCGCCGCCGCGTGCCCGGCCACCGAAAATCCTACTCCGTGCGCGTTGGGGCCCGAGGGCCCTAAATAATACACACGCACACACGCAGCCGCGCACGCACACACAGCCGCGCTCACGTACACGTATACACACGTACACCGCGCTCCCCGCCCGCCGACTATTACGCTTGTTCGGTCCCCCGCGCCGCTCGGCCCACCGCCGCACCGCATCTATCTATTTGGTCTTTCGTTCTTTGTCCGCGGCGCTTTCCCTCTCTCTCACTCTCTCTTTGTGTACGCTTGTGTGTGTCTCTCGCCAACTGTAAGTGTGTGTGTGTGTGTGTGTGTGTGTGTGTGTGTGTGTGTGCGCGTGCGTGTGTGTCTTTCTCTCGTCGTCGTCGTCATTATCCGATTCCGTTCCAAAAACCCGACCGCCGATAGGACAACCGTCGACGAGCTAGCCTTTGTTTCGCAGGAACGCCAACCTTGTGGATGGGTGATGGTGGGGGCGGGCAGGGGGAATCGGAGATTTTACTAAAATCATCGTCGATTTGGACTTTGGGCGACATTAAGCATTACAACAGTTACCTATAATAACTGTATGATATCGAAAAAGAAAATAATATGCAGCTTTCGACTCCGGTGACGATGAAGCGACTTCGGAAATGTTCACAGCCGGCCTTGAACGTTGCTTCGCGTAATTGCATCGAAATAAAACGAATTTTTAAATAAATCTCGTACGGACAATAATGAATTCGAGTGCACAATATTATCGGCTACTACAATACACACGTCGGTATATTATATAACACAAGTCCTATTCGCCCCAACTCCTGCAGCATACGGCAGCTGCCGCCCATTAGAATGTGTACGTAACCGCGGTAGCCGTGTTAATCATTCGAAATAATTATAATAACGGACAATGTTAAGGCGAAAAAGCTCACGTCGGTACCCGGGGGCAGAGCGTCGGTACGAGTGCATACGTGACTGATTGCACGTCGAAAGGTCGTCGGGTATTTAAGAATCGCGAGTGAATCGCCGGAACAGAGAGTATATTATTATTATGTTAACGGGATGAACGTACAATAAATATTGTGAAAACGGTAATGTACTCAGACAATAGATCGTTGTATTAAATAATTTTTTTTTGGTGGGAGAGGGGTGTAGGGGCGGACGGTTATGATTTTATAACCGGAACGGCTGCACCGTGTGGTAACAGGCATACTGGATGGTTAATACTATACACAGCGCACGGTTAAAACAAAAACTTCCTAAGCATTTGTAATAAACGAGCACAAAACGGAACGACTCAAACGAAAAATAAAATCGAATAAACTCAAATCGAACCGACTCGCGGCAGTCGTTGGCGGACCACGGTATTGTAATATTATTCTTTTATTGTTGCGGCTGATCGACGGAACAAAGGTTTCGGGAAATTGATAATATTAAATTAATTCCTTGTAGACCAAGGAGATGTGCTGTGACATTAAAAAAATGGAAAAAAATTTGAATGTGGAGCAGGACGAGAGGCCAAAAAAACGATAGTGCATAATATTATATTCAACGAATGCGATCTATACGCACTCTAAGGCATTTTAAACGATCTGTTGAACCTCAACAAAAATGCAGATAAATGGGCAATGGCTCAAAGGACTTACACTACATAATGATGACAATAAAACCATGGTTCCCTACTGGAACTGCATTATATCTGACCTAATTATTATATTTTATGTTTAATTTTACATTTTATATTTCTTATATTCTTACATTGTTAGCTTTTACTTTTCAACCAATTATTTGCTTAGTAAATGTTACGAATAATATACACAATATATATAATTTCGTGTCTTCGTACACCCGAACACACAATATTGTACGCTGTATAGGTACAAATTTACTTGAATATTTCATCATTCGAAATCTGGTATACAGCTGCTGTGCACACCACGTTGTATAATAATAATAATAATAATAATAATTTGTAGTATTATTTATTTCGTTCTGTCCTATAACATTTTGTGCGGTATACTTATCGTTACACGTCCGGCGGAATCGCGGGCGGTTAAAGGGGAAATTACTAAACCACCCCTCGGCCGACTGCGTATCTCCAACCTATTACCGCACCCGAGTTTAATGAAGACGGGACACGGTTATCTGCCCTTTTGCCAAGCCTTTTATCACCAACGCCCGCCCCACCAGAAAAAAAGGGAACGACACCCGCCGCCACGCCAGGGGGTATGAGAATCTAACGGTGCAATATACGGTGTGTTAGGTTATTACCATCGTGACGCTCCTACGCGAGATCCCCTTCCGACCATTTGATTTGCAGTGGAAAATTATCATATTATATTATATGTTTAACCGCTTCTATCCGCACACGACACCTAGCGAAAATACTCAATATTACGCTATACTCGTTGATCATTGTAAACCGTCTTATGACAGCTAACTCATCATAGCAAAGCAAATTATAGGAATTTGTCTTATTCTGTTATTTATAATTTTAGAGTGAATAGACCTGTTATCAAATATTAATGTTCGAATATTATTTAGGGCCCTTCCCGGATTGGTTTGATACTTTAATTTCAAAGCAAATTATAAGCATTTTAAAAATAACATATGGAAACGGTTTCTTTCAACGTGAAATTTGGTATGCCATGCGTAGTTTTAAAATCAGTCGAGGAGGCAATACATGGCGGGCATTCGTCCTCGTGTATATACTTATACTCCAACGGTGTATAGATAAAATCAATATTTATTTATATTGTGAACACGTATTATAATATCGAGGATCCATCTGTCGCCGACTCTGTAATATTATAAGGTTGGTAGTAGGCAGTAGGCACATAATACATAATATAGGTGTTATAACAATAGCCGCATAAAGATTTCGATTGTTCGTTAACGGTTGTTATCAGTTTTAGACTTCCGATAATTGTATTTATTTTCACTGCGAAAACCTCGTCCGTCCGAGGTAGCTACAAATCTACAATCCGAATACGTTTTCGTGTATTGTTTTCGTTAATAAAACACTGGTTACGAAAATTGTTTTTTTTTGTTCTATGCGCTAATGTTTTACAACGAGTTTTTTTTATTCGATCTTATACAATATAACACCACTCTGTAGGTATATACAATACGCTAACGTCTACAGCACAATACACATTACACCGTACACACTATACGCAGCGATGGTGCTGTATACAAGAACATGTCGTCGGCGAAAAATACGAACAATAATCATCAGTCAGCAGTATTGCTGGTTTAAAATAGTATAATATTATCTCAGTACTCAGATGAATATATGAATATTTCGAAACCCAAAATTGATTATTTAACTTTTTTATATACGCTTTGTATAGATTTCTACTCGTATCTATTACTCACTAGTAGTACTTACGAGAGCATCGTATAATATACAGCATTTAGAGTACCTATACAATATAAATAATATACATAATAATCAAATACAGTTCCTTAATAATTAAAATCGAAACAATGTGAATGAATTTCAGTCGATTCGACAACTACTTACATAAACAATACATATATGCATAAATTACTTAAATGCGCCGAACCCCAATTTTGTCGTTCAGAGGTTTTTATTGCCTTGCGATCGATACGAAGAAACAGTTTTATCGCGTAGTTGACCCCAGTGGCCAAGTGCGTCTCCATATATAATATATATTTAGAAATATACTTATGTATTATGTTTATGTCATGTAAAGGAAAATAAAGTGTTTAGGTGTATATACGAAATATTATGTGCACACAGTAGTCAATGGCGTTACAGTATCGGGCAAGAAGATAAATGACACCGACCTTACAAAATGATAAATAAATTGTTTGTTGGGTGGAACAATAAAATAATAAGGAAACTTCTATTCAAAATTAAGAGTAAATAAATAATGTATATTATGAAAATATATACTATAATTTATTAACAATAAAATTGGATGTACACATCACTCATGCCTTATTGGGTTGATCGTACACACAAATATCAGAAATCAGAATGGCAAACATTTAAAATTTAATTTCAACCAGATTAAAATGCTGAATGTAAAGATCAATATTGTGTATAGAAAACTCTGATCTATGAGCACCGCCAGTTCACCGTCTATCATAATCTATAATTATCATTGATACGTATTCTATGTATAGGATTAAATAACTAGTTTCGGAGATAAAAAGAATCATAATTTATTGTCCACATTGTGTTAATAATAATAATCTTTGTACCTATTTATGTCCTATTTGAGTTTACAAATCATACAAAACCGTGTATAGTTTGATTTTTTTTGTTATCTGTCGTATGCTGACCCAACAAATTTATACCATTTTGTCCTAGAAGTTTTTGTTATTTCTTATCATACTAAGCTAGTAATTAATATTATATTATATTTATACCGTGCAAATATTTATTCTGTAGAAAATATGTGAATATAAAAAAAGTTATCAGAATACATATTTAACAGATGTATTAGTTTAATGTTATCATTATCTCATAAGTCATTAATAGTGCTTTGCATCACTCAAGCAGCTTATATTCTATTATATTGTCTTATCTGATATAATATTATAATATTATAATATTATTGTATAGGTATTTATTATATTTATATGTTATACTTTTGTTGTACACGCGCGCTTATTTGGATACAACGCATTTTATTCAACAAACAAATTCATATTATAAACTATCGTGTTAACAGACATATTTGTCTATGTCAAATGTATATTGCACGGAAATCAATCTGAAAAATATTGTAATTTATCGGTTTGTCTTTAAATTTTTCAGTAAATGAATACATTTCTTCTATTACAATCATTT